AGGAGGTAGTTGATCTCCTTCCTGAGAGCTATACATTTCTCTGTAATGTGGCCAAATTCTTCATGGTACACACACCACTTAGACCTATCCTTCCGGCCAGTGGACTTTTCTCCTTTCTTTGACCACCTTGCTTTGTTGCCGAGATCCTCCATGACATAGATTATACCTGAAACATGTACAGAAAAACAATAGTTAGTTATCTTGGGAAAATCGTCCTCCTCCCCTTCATCCTCAAGGGCATTAACCCTGTGATGGTCAGGTTTGGAATAAGGTTTTGAGTTGTGGAATCTTTGGACCGAGGAGTCAGCCTTCCTATTGGGGTTATCGTATAAGTTAGGAGGGTTGCTCCTCTTCTGGATCTTTTTATCCTCTTCTAGCCTAATGAACCTTAACACTCTGCTCCTAACTTCGTCCATCCTTTCGCATGGGGTCATTACAAGGGCTTCATAAAAAGGAGAGTCTTTCTTCATACCCATTTTGAAAGCTTCTACGGCGGTCACCATATCGATGTTGGGGATAGTCAAGGCTTCCCTGCCAAACCTGTTTATAAAGTCCCTAATGGATTCCTTAGGATCCTGGATTACTCGATAAAGATCACTAGTGATCTTCTCGAAAGTTCTGCTAGAAGAAAATTGATTGTTAAAAAGATTAACTAAATGTGCAAATGAAGTAATAGAATAAGGTGGAAGATTAAGTAGTCGTTTTAAGGCTGATCCTATGAGGGTCAAATCAAAAGCCTTGCACAGACAAGATTCCTTTAAACGAAAGGGAATGGGGATAATCTCCATTCTTTCTCGATATTGCCCAACATGTTCTTCACGATCCATAGTCCCGTCGTAAGGTTTCCTGATTGGAGTTTGGAAATGTTTTGGGACTTCAGTATCAGCTATCGTAGGAGAAAATCTCGAGGTCCTATGACTAGTGGGAGATACTTAGGGTATTGGTTGGACTATCCCTGGTACACTTGAGATCATTGCATTAGTTGTTGGATTTTTTTGGCCATAATTGGACTTATTCCTGCATCAAGATCCATAGAGTTAGTATTGGAAATATTATTATTAAAGAGTTACTAGCATTTCTATTATAAAGATTATTAAAGGTTTCATCAAGATCCTGTGTCACAAGAGTTTGGATGTTTGGAATTATTCTCCATATTAGGGTAGCAACGGATGTTGGAACCATCAATTTCGGGCATTTCCCTAGGGATCCTGGATTGTCGAAATTCAGGATCCTCGGTTGTAATGTTGAAGGTTTCACCTCCTGAGGTTTGCGGATCTATGCCCTAATCCTTTCCATTTCCTTGAGCAACATTATATTGTCTTCCTGTTACTGAGCCACTTATTATGTCAACGTTTTCATCATAGAGAAGAGTTCGTTATTGGAAACCGAGGCAGGAGGATCTTGGGATCCCAGGGATCCTGCAGCAACCGAAGTAATATTCTTCTTTGGCACATTGGAATTGTTCCTCTGGCCAGGTAGCCCACTTAGAGGAGGTGAAAGATTTTTCGGAGGAACAGAGGGAACAGAGGAAGAAGAAAGGATTGATTGTGTAGACTTAATTTTTGGGGATTACGAACACTACGGCCCCATGGTGGGTGCCAAATTGTTTTGGTCAAAAATTAATCAAGTGTAAATCAACTAAATTGTATGAGAGGTTGTGATGTTGTAATCAAAGCAAATGAACAAATCGAAAGTAGGTGACACAAGTGGTTTACAAGGAAAGCCTTTGATCCTTGCTAGGATCTCCGGCACACAACCTTGGGAGGTGATAACGATCACCTGCCTTGTTAGTTTTATTAATTGAAAAGATGAGTTACAGATGAAATGATGAATATACGAGTACAATAGTTGAAGTAAGTCTAGGTGTCTATTATGTGCAAATACATGTATATTTGTAGTCTAGTCTAAGAAACAATAAGTCTGATATTCCAGGATCTTCTCGAATAAAATTTAACATGTTGGTTTGACTTGGTATTATCGGGTCTTTTACCTGATTGAAGTACTTCTTCGGTGAGAATGAGTCTTATGTTGACTAATTATGTACATGTGAGAAAAAGACAAGAAATATATCTGTTAGAAATGTTTGGAAATATTAATAATAACAATGTTCAAGATCCTGAGAAGTATTCGGGATCCTGAAAGATCTTGAAGATCCGGGATCCTGAATATGATTGAGGATCTTGGCCCTAACAACAACTATAACTTTAAATAATTGTTTCTTTGACTTTGTGTAGATGGAATTGAGTTAATTTGAATGACTTAAATGATTAGAAGGAAGAATGCAATGGAAATTATACAAAAGAAACACCAACAACATATTCACATATGATTATAATTATATTGAAATATTTTATTTATTTATTGTAACTTATTCGCTTATGATTATAAATGTGATTTATTTATTAACGGTTACAACCGTAGTTGATATCTATCTTGTGCTTTATTTATTTTCGATTACAAGTATATCTTAAATATAACTTATTTATTCATTTAAAATTACAACTTTATTTATTTGTGAATAAACGTAGGAATAATTACTTATACAAAAATTTGAAGAAAATTTAAATAAATATTCATATAAAACAATAAATTATTAAATTTTTTGATATTTAATCGATAAAGATGAAAAAAATCATGTTAAATGTTTTTTTTAAATAGAATATAAGAAAATGATTATTTTTATATTCCATTGGTAAAAAATCAATTAAATAATTTTTTATAGGTAAATAATAATCAGATGCTAGATGTTAGGAAGTTATTATTTAGCTTTAATGGTAATAATTTATTAAAAATATATAATTACTATGCCTTTATATATCGATTGGTGTATAATTGTTTTCGCGTTTTCAACCTTCATGTGTTGTCAAATAACATCTCCATATATATATATATATATATATATATATATATATATATATATATATATATATATATATATATACACACACACACTTTTGGAACTGGTGTTACAAAATTTGTTGGGTTGGTACGGACACGTTGAATGCATGTTTGTATGTGTATTGTGGTATGTGGTATTTTATAGAACTTACTAAGCTTTGATTTGCAGTTGTGAATTAAATATTGTGTTCAAATACTTTATCAGTTCGTAAAGATGCGAAAGTGTGACTCTACACACACCAATAATTTTACGATACTTTCGTTATGTTTAAGTGACATCCATTATTTAAATATAATTGTTGGTAATAAACATAATGGGACGGAAACATGAACATTTAGGTAACTTGTTTGGTACAACAGGAGTAAATATTATGTACAAATTAAAATTAAAATGTGCGCGAACAATCTTTCAACATATTGAATTTAATTCTCAATATATTTTTTATATGTTAAATATAATTACCACATTATATTACTACAATAATAATATATTTATTTAAATAAAACGAGTTAAAAACTTACAGGGACGGACGCAGTAATTGATAGTAGATGTTGCCGATTCTTTTTTCCGGTCAAACATAATATAAAACCGAAAAGTAATTCATTACGTCTAATACAAATAAACGATCCATTACATAAAAGTTAAAAACATAACAACGATCTATCGTCTATTACAATTTAAATTTGTCATCTTCGTGCAAATATCTTTTGAAACCATTTCATTATCTTTTCATTCTCAACTTTCACAAGTGCTTCGGTCTCAACATAGCAAAACAACGCGTCGTTCAAAAACTCATCGTCAATCTTGTTGCGCAAGTCGGTCTTCAAGAGCTTCATCTTCGAAAAACATATTCCTACACTTGCAGTCGCTACGGGTAATATCAAAGCCAACTTTAAAAGCTTATTAATCAAATGATAAGACCGATGTTTCCCCGTGCTAAGCATCAAACGAGAAAGCTCTGAAATTCTTTTCAAAGTGGTAAAATGTTCATCTTTGATGCAAGAGTGATAAAATATCTCAAATTGTCCTTCAAGATCTATCAAATCTGAATCATCAAAGTCATACTTGTACAACTTAGCCAACTTCAACAACTTTGATTTGTCAAATTGTGAAAATGAATCACAATGGCTCAAAGCACCCATGTATTCTAGTAACTGGGTGCTTGTTTCACTAAATCGATCCCGAACACACTGCCTCTAGTCTCGATGCCTTTTCTTTTTCTTTTTGCTTTTGTCGATTAAGTGTCCAAGTCTCGATGCCTTTTCTTTTTCTTTTTGCTTTTGTCGATTAAGTGTCCAGTCCAAACTCCCATTCTCCCGATTGGATCAAAAGATCCAATTATCCAAACGCCATTGGGCTATTTTAGTTATTTTTTTTTTGGGCTAAAATTAATAGGACTTTGGACTACTAATTAATAAGTTTAAGTTGTAAATATATTTTTGCGCTTGGTTGATCCTATAGAGTGACAATTTTTGCAAGATTTTTTACGTAGTTGCCGAGTTTTTTTTACGCAGTGGCATAATAGGTAAAAAAAAAAAAGTCGAAAAAATTTACACTGCATACACGGAAACTGGATATTGCTCGTGCCACACCGACACCTAGGCAAAACCGTACTGAGAACTTACATATATTTGAAACACGCCTTCATCGACTTTATAATATATTTATTTAAATAAAACGAGTTAAGAACTTAAATATATTTGAAACATATCTTGATCGACTTTCAATACTTCTCTTTTAACCAAATTCTTTGTTTTACACATTTGCCACATCAAAAATATAATATAATCCAAATAAAATTATTCAAAAATATATCGAAATAAAAAAGGACCGTGTGGAGATTTTGAGCCACATAACTCGATGAATGTTGATTTTGTCTCTTTTTGACCAAGATCCATACCTGGCCACCTTTCGATACCATAATCACACTCTAAACCACAAACACTTTTAAACTTAGAAAAACTAATCGTAAATCTAAACAGCAATAGACTTGATTTAGTACCCGCCAAAAAGTCCTACTTTTGCGTCTAACCCGATCACCATTTTTCTCCCCCACTCATAATGGTTGTTCGCCTACAAAACACAAACACACTTCCATTAATTAAAATATTCTTAATCTTCCCAAATCGACAATTTCATTATTCCCATTCATGTTCCTTAATTTCAAAACTAAGTAGTTGTATCAACCATCATAATTACTCCAACGTTGTTCTTCCCAAATTGGTAAGCCAAGAACCATCAACTCCAACCCAACAAAACCCTAACTTTTTTTTTTCATATCTCTCTACATTAGTTAAGTGGAATTACTCGTAGTCATGACATCAATGGCATCATCAAACAACGTTAATCTTGTACAATGTAGTTATTCTCAAAAGAGTCATCATATTCATACCCCCAAAAAAAACCTTTCTAGAGTCGGTTTCTTGGCTTCTGATATGCAAATCCGAATTAGGATCTTGAGACAGTCGGTTAAGGTGAAGGCGAGCGTTGGGAGTTTTGATAAGGGGGTTGAAACAGTGAATGGGAAGAAGGTTAATGGGGTGCGTTTAGGTGATCAAAGAGAAAAAATTAGTAGTAAAGATTGTAGCTTTGAGGAGCCCGATGATCGTGGGGTTCTTCTAGGTAGGTTTGTGGAGAATCGGTTTGTTTATCGACAAACTTTTGCTATTAGATCTTATGAAATCGGACCCGATAAGACTGCCACCATGGAAACTTTGATGAATCTTTTACAAGTAGGTTAAATTTACTTCTTTCTTTTCTTCTAGAAGTTCTTGCCAAATCTTTATTAATGCCAAATCTCATATATGATTCATTGATTTTAAGTGCCAAACATGGTTGTGATAATACACAGGAAACGGCTCTTAATCATGTAACGAGCGCAGGTTTGGCTGGAAACGGATTCGGAGCCACCCATGAAATGAGTCTTCGGAAATTGATTTGGGTCGTGACACGGATCCATGTTCAAGTCGAAAAATATAGCTCATGGTAAAGAGTTGACCAAATTCTTGATTCTCTCGAACTTTGACCTAATTTTCCAATATCTTATTAACCGAAAAAGCCGACAGGGGAGACGTAGTTGAGATCGATACATGGGTGAATGCAGCTGGGAAAAATGGAATGAGAAGAGATTGGATTATACGTGATTATGTTACCCAGAAAATTATAACTCGGGCTACAAGGTAAATTTTTGTAAATAATTTATTATTATTGTTTTTCTTATTTAGTAATTAGTTTTGAAGTAAATATCATCGGATTGTATGCATGCATATAGTACATGGGTGATTATGAATAGAGAAACGAGAAGGTTATCAAAGATCCCAGACGAAGTTCGAAACGAAGTGACACCATTTTATCTCAACAGAGACGCAATCGCGACCGAAAAGATCGATCATGAAAAGATCGAGAAACTAACGGATGAAACTGCTGCGAGAATTCGGCATGGTTTAGCGGTAAGTCAAACAAATATTTATGTTTCTTAGACACTATTACTGATCTTTCATTTATCTCGCATTGCGTTTTTGCACTTATATCATAAGAATTACTTTAAACTTTTTATTTTAATTAATAACTTAATTATATTTAATTAATAGTTATTCAATAATATACTAATTAACATCAATATAATCATTACCAGAAACAACGTTTTTAGAAACGGAATCTGCTACAGAATAAATCCTTAGCTAAATATTATCGTTTAGCGACAAATTTACAAGTGATTAACGGATTTTTCCGTAAGTCATGTTTCTGGTAGTGAAAGTAGTAATTTATGTTCGTACATTTTTATGGGAAAATGACTATCGGTAACGAGCTATTGATTTTGTTTATATTTGGTATTTTTTTTTTCTTTTGTACACTATATACAATCAAATTTGTTGCAACTGTTCACATTTCCCTTTATGACCGGCTGATGCATCGTCTAAGCTTAGTCGTACCATAATCAAAAATGATGTTTTTTTTTTGTATTTTGCATGTATGTATATTTATAGTTTTCATGTTTTTTTTTTCTTAATTCATAGTTGTTGGGTTAATTGGTTTAGTCAAATGAGTTAATAGTTCTAAGGGTATTTTAGAAAACATTCCTTTTATGTAGTTTTCTGTGTTTGAGTAGGACTCTTTTAGATTTGGTATAAGCAAGGGTATTACGTTGCTTTGTTTTATTAATTAGAATCAAGTTTTTTCAGCAATAAAGTTCTTGTTCAACAAGTAATTCCGAGTCTTACCATTTTTCTTTAATTCGTTGTTTTCTCTCATGTTGTTTCATCCTTCTTGTTCTGATTTCATCCTTGGGCACCATGTTACATTAGCTTGACTCCTTACACTTGGTATCAGAGTGAGGTTAAGACGATGCCGGTTTGAGAGTCAACTTTTGAATGGGATGAACCTTCGGGTGCGGGGTTGCCATAGCAGCGGAAGCAGGGTGTTCGGTAATGATTTTTTTTCAACGGGGAGCAACAAAACTGAAGGTTTGGCCACACAAGAAGGTTCGGGACAGCAGTGGTTGTTTCGAGACTATTTTATAGTAGAAGACAAAGATGGTAAAGTATTTTCGGGTCAACCGTTGTCATGGAGAGACGGGGAGCACAGTTCGATATGATGGGTGTGACCGGTGATGAGCATAGGCGGTCCGTGGCTGTTAGTTACGATCAAAGAATGATTTGTTTCGAAACATTTTCAGCAGGGGGTGTTGTTGTCGGGATTTTGCAGTTCTTGATCGGCTTGTTAGTGATAAGGGGATACCGGCGTAGGTGCGTGAAAAGTAGGCCAGAAGGATCCGCCAAAGCAAGTAGTTTTGGATTCAATTCATTTGGCAAGATTGAAAGAAAACGGTGAAGCGGGTGGCTTTGTTTTATTGGTCAGTGGAGATGCCAATTTGAACAAAGGTGATCGAAACAAATGAAGAGATTGGAGAAACTACACAGTGTGAACATTATGGCATTGGAGTTCAAATCGGGTGCCTTTGGATCTGGCTAAGGAAGAGGTCATTGATCCGAGAAAACTCGAGATGGTAATGAACATGTCCAACAGGATGCCATGGTAAATGTCACATGTGTTGTCAACAATCAAAATAATTGAGTGAAGACTTTGGATATGACCGAGGTGGAGTTCGGGAAACGTCGATAATCGAGATGGTTCAAAAAGAAGGTGATTAAATACTGTTGTAAACGGGCAATACGACCAAACCGATTAAGGGGTGATTGTTGGGTTAATCAGTTTAATTAAATGAGTTCAAAAACAATTTTAGTTATAAGGGTATTTTTGAAAACATTCCTTTTATGCAGTTTTTTGTGTTTGAGTAGGACTCTTTTAGATTTGGTATAAGTAGGGGTATTATGATGCTTTGTTTTATTAATTAGAATCAATTTTTTTCCAGCAATAAAGTTCTTGTTCACCAAGTAATTCCGAGTCTTACCATTTTTCTTTAATTCGCTATTTTCTCTCCTGTTGCTTCATTTTTCCTGTTATGATTCCATCTATAATATCCCAAAAATCAAAGAAAAATTTTCATTTATAAAACCAAGCCCAAAACCATAATTGTTTACAAAACACTGTTTTCCAAAAGATATAATTACAAATCAGAGTATCCCAAAAATCGAATTCCATAAAATCCGAAGGATGTGCATGATCAAGTCGTCGTCTTATCCCGGTCATCTGAGGAACCTAAAACCATAACAAACAATTGTAAACACGAAGCTTAGTGAGTTCCCCTCAAAATACCACCATAGAAACATATAACAACATGTATACTGGGTCCACAACTAACAGACTGGATTACCCCCGGGCTCACATCATGAGTCTGGCTTGCCTTGTGGCCCACAGCTCATGTCCGGCTTGCTCCCGAGCCCACAACATAAGTCTGGCTTGCCTTACTAGCCCACAACTTACGTATGGCTTGCTGTCGAGCCCACAACATAAGTCTAGCTTGCCTTACTAGCCCGCAGCTTATGTTTGGCTTGCTCCCAGGTTTGTTGGCTTCCGCACATAACAGGATTGCCTCAACCCAACCATACATGTCGACATATACGTAACATATAACATGTATCTAGCAAACAGATAATCATATAACCAGTCAGACAAACATGTAGATCTACAGATCACTACCGCATAGTAACATCCTTTACACTAGCAAACAAATCTACCAGATCACTACAACATAGCAACATCCTCTATATCATGGACACAACCTAGTGGGTCAGCATTGGTGCCTTCGACCCCCGACCCACAAGTACAATGAGGAAAACTCACCTCTCAGTCTGAAAAGATTGTTGAACAGGACACAACTCTGAATATCATCTCTACTGGTCACGTATTTATCAAAACATGACCAATTTAACTAATAATCAAAATACTCAAAATACCTCTAGGTCAAACTTAGTAAAAAACATGTCAAAGTCAAAAAAGTCCATTGTGTCAACTCAGCTGAGTATGCCCAGTGTACTCAGCTGGTATGCATGGCGTACTAGCATATTGACCAGAAAAGTGGGAAGTTGACCTGGTACACCCAGCGTACGCACTTGTCACCTTTTCTTCTATTAAGAGCTTAATCATTAAGCTCTTTTGTCCAAATTTCAGATCTAGTCCTCAAATGTTGTCCTTTACCATAAAGTTTCCAACATTATGGTATTATATGGATATTAAGTGCTCAATACCAAAAAACCCAACCTTCTTAACTCATTAAGACAACATAGATCATGGCTAAACAAGATCTAATCAATACTTCATCAAGTTCATAGCTTTTTACCTCCAAATGATGCCAAATGATGATGTGATTATGGATCCAAAGTGTTCCACTCTTCCAAGATGATCTTCTCTTCTTTATACCTCCTTCAAGATTACCAAAACACACTCTAATGGCTCAAAATGCTCTCAAATGGATTAGGGTTTGCAACGGGGTCGAAATGGGGATGGAGGCTGATGAAAGAAAGAAGACTTGGGAGTTAAGGATGTTTAAATAAGGTCCAAACCCTAAAAATTAGGGTTTGACCCCTGACCACGTACGCCCAACATACCAGATGTACATGCAGCATACTCAAGAAAACCCATGTACGCCCAGCGTACTCACACAACCCTCAAAATTACAAAAATGCCACTAAAGACCAAATTGAAAACAATTCTCATAGCAAGGGTTAAAAGTGTAATTACTTGGAAATCAAGATGTTACAATTCTCCCCCCTCTTAAATCAAATTCCGTCCTCGAAGTCCATAGCCGAAAATAACTCAAGGTAGTGTTCTCGTATCTCCGCTTCGTGCCATTCTGACAATCCTCCACAAAACTCGATCTGAACTAAAAGTCGGCTCATTCAGGCGACTGCCTTTCCATACTATATTTAACCCAATCTTAGCGAAACTTAAGTACCCCTACCAATAATGAATCCTTAACCCACTAACTTTTACCACTGAAGAAAACCATCACAATTTTGCCCAAAATCCGGAAATCCAATACCTTGACTGACTCTCAAGCAGGCAAAACTATCTCGGAACACAGTCAAAACGATTTCACTTTACAATCTGAACCATATGAAATCCTTCAGACCCTGAATTACCTTACTGATATCACTGGGAAACAGAACCCCTGACCATTCACTGTTGATCAACCCTCCATTCAAAAACAAGGCGACTCCCAACACGAGTCTCAGCTAGATCACAGATGTAGAGAAACACGTACAGCGCCAGCATATTCCACAACTTCCTAGCTATAAGACCTAACTTCTAGCGAGAACTATAGAGTCGTGACTCTCAAAACTATAACCACTTAAACAACTCCATCAATACGCTTCCTGGGACCCGGAACCCATCAGTTCTAAACTTTAAAACCCATATTTGTGGATTGATATTCATCCATTCGTTGAACCTACCCCTTGTCTTTGACTAAGAACACCACCAAATAGGCGGAACGAAGTACTCAAAATACACCGATCGCGAACTTCAACCAATTCCAAATCCAGAGGTTGTACCAAAAACCTTAAATACACGCTTGACTCCCTGACACGTCATTACCAACCCAGTGCTCCTACGAGAAAAGATGATCAATCCAAGAATTTTCATGTTGTATCCAAACCCTTATCAGCTCAGGTTTACCCCCACCTGGCAAATCACTCAAGATATTCACAATGAACTTCCTGACTTGAGGTTCTATAACCGATACCCATCATTGGTAACCAAAATCTTAATAAACAGCCTGCAAAAAACGGGATTTATATTATGCAAACACTCCGCAAGAGACTTTGATGCACGAATGATACTCGCAACAACCCTTAACTCCCCCACATATTCCAAACCAGTTGGTCACTGAGCCTCCCAACTCCCACTATGCACTAACACCCAAACATGCCAAGAAAGCAAATGATTCAAGACCTAAGAGCTTCAAACAATGGACTACCGGGTCCCACCCATACGAATCATACGGCCACTGGTTCACGATGCATCGTGAAGCTTTTAAACCAGTAAAGGA